CAGCAAAGAAGAGTAGCTGGAAATCCTGACCTAGCTGCTGCAAGGCAGATACAGGAGAACATAATATTAAATCATTTTAATGGATAAAATAAATATCTACAGTAATAAATTCCAAAATTTGTAAAAAAAGCAGGTACGAACATTGCAAAACTATATTTGGTTTGGTTTCAAGCTTAATATAAATAATCTTAGGTTAGGCACTAACTAAAAGAGACAAACAAAACAAGTATCCTTTAAAAAACAAATCTGACTAAACAAAACAATTATTTCTAAAAAGATAAATAATTTGAAGCAGTCTAACTTAACAAGGTAAGGCTTCAAGATTGATCCTGAGTTAATGTCTAAGCATTAATCAGAACCAAAGAAACAAACAAGATAAATTCTAACAATTGTACATACAAAAAAATATAAGTACGAGATGGAAATATTCACAAAAGTTAATTCTCACAGGTACCTAGTTATAACACTGCAAAGGTTTCTCATAAACTGAATAATTAAATTAATTCAGATATTCACATGCTTTATTAATACTATTAGAAATATCTTCTAGTGCTTTGACTTTCCTATTTTCAATTTTTATCTTTTGTTCATAGTACGATTTCAATATTTCCAGCTTTTCAGTCTGATAATTTTTTGTACTTTTCATTAACTCCTCGGTTAGCTGTAAAAATCTTTTATTATTCTTTATAGATTCTGTTAAGCGCATTGTTTTGTTAACTCTTTTATGTGGTCTTTTGATACTTGTGTCAGTATTTAAAACAGGATTTAAGGACTCTAAATTTGTTGCTTGGGAAGCATTTATGCCTTTTAATTCTGTGTTTGCAACATCAGCCTGTCCAACTTCAATTGCCATATCTGTGTCATCTTCCAAATCACCACAGTAATCATAATCCAGCTGAAAAAAGTGCATTATTTCTATTTAAACAAACATTTATCCTTACTAAAAGTGAAATATTCATCAGGTCATACAAATATCTCCTTCAAATAAACCAGGCTGTACTTTATCTCTTAAAATCAGTACATGCCTTGTAACATATCTTGTACCTTTATACTATACACTTGGTTTGGATTGTGTAATAGATCAAGTATTTAAATTCAGTATTATTTCATCTTATGCTGATATGCTACCACTTACCCTATGAGGCATTTCTTCCAACACAAATGGGTCTGGAACATTCTCATTTCCAGTGACACAAACTGGAGTAATTAGTCCCAAAATTTTGTCTTCGACATTATCATTGGAGGTGGACTGCCCCCTGTACCAGACTGATATTTTTTCCTGTCTGCTAGTCTCGACTTTGAATTTTTTTTTATATCAATCCATGTCTAGAAAGTTTATAATTTTTCTACGTCAGTACCAAGCAAATGCAAAATGCATTGTTTAATAGTATAATTAGACAGACATATAATGTAATACTTACTTTTCGCCATTGTACCCAGTCTTGGCTAGCTCCATTAGGCAACGCATTCAATTTGTTTGCCATTTCAGTCTATAACGCCTTGGACTGGGCACGGGTATATGCCGGCGTGAATTTTCCCTGGTGCATTTGCGAGTGGTCTCGGAGAAATTCAATCAATTTCTCCTTTTGCTCATTTGTAAGGTGTTTTTTTGACGTTTTCGACTCCATAGATAAAATCACAGATAAAATAATGAGGAAATCTTGACAGAAATCTTTGGTTGGTTTTTGACCGTCAAAATGATCTCCACTTTGATTGGTTTAACACATTTACCCAAACCTGGCTACCCTGTGTCTTGATTTCCTTTCTCCTTTCGATCGAATCCTTTCAAGAATACAGTATTTTCGAATCGAAGAGTAGAAAACCGGGGGAGTAGAAAAAGAGAGGGAGTGTGATTTTCTATTGAAGTCAAGAATACGGGCACTGGCCGCGACTCGCAGTGTGAAAAAAATTAAATTTATGTTTAGACCTTTAGAAATTATAGTTTTTAAAAACCAAGACCCAAAATTTAGTTCAGGACAAGTCAAAAATTTATAGAATACAACGTAACAGTTCTCAGATCTATCAGACCTTAAATACCTCCATAAAATTCTTTCTCCTCTCGCTCCTACTTCCTTCCTTTCTTTCTCCCTCTCCCCTTTCCCCTACAACTTGTCTGGTTTCTGAGCCACCAGATCTGACAGACTGACGACAGGCACTGACATTAAAGTGACTATGACCTAAAGACTAAGGTCCTCCAGACCGCCTTGAGAAGCAACGACGAGTAGTAGTATGAGTGAACAACAGCTGTGAATATGGTCCTCAGCTTTACCGGATTTACACCTGATTTATTATTGCCAATGTTACAGACTAATACATAGTGCGGCAGAGAGGATGGACGGTTTTAAAAAAATCATAAAATAGGTAATTTTTACTCGAAAACAAATTTATTGATGGAATCAGGTTTACAAGGAAATAGAATTTGAGACAGTCAAGTGTGGAAAATCACATCAGGCATGTGGTGGCCGAAATCGTTGATGCAGTGCTGGAGGCGTTCTTGGAAGTTCGCGTAG